TCACCTCTCCCTTCTCCAGGCCATTTCCACTAGTTAAGATTACTCTGAATGCTTGTTCAGTTTGCAATCCAGCTTCAAAGCCTTGCTTTTTCTCCCTGCATGCATGTATGTATGTTATGATACTGGGGTATTAACCTGAGAAAAAGCATAGCCTGAGAACATGCATGGAAAAACAGAGCAAGGTTTGAAAGTCATTTAAGTATTACTTTTTAAAAGCCCCTATGGGGCATCTGATGTTGGCATTGTATATTATCGCTATTTATTTTCATTGCATATAAAACACTCCATTTTATAAGCTACACTACCACTTTTCAATGAGAGCAAGTGTGCTTAGCACTATCTATGACAAAGATAAGGAATTATTTTGGGAAGCTAAGTAGTCTTGTTTTTAAAACGAAAAAGCTCCCCAACACGTGAGGTCAAACACTTGAGGTTTGGTTTGTAAGCAAATCCCACTGAATTAAATAGACAGCAACTTTTAGAGTTAAAGTCATTCCTCTTCCTGACAGAGCTGGACTGCAGGTTTGTGCAATGGCTCCATACGAAATAGCAAAGGGCAACTTCAGTGTCTGTCACCTTCTATGCAGTGCAGACTGCAGAGGGGGGCAAGGTTTCTGCAGTTCAACACAATCCTGAATGCACACTTACCTTCTCTAATGCCTGGAAAACACCTCCCTTCTAGCCCTAGAGAAGGAGGGAACCCAACAAGCATTAAAGCACAAGAACATTCCTAGCACACTCCAACACTGTCAGTCACGCTGGTCAAGGTATCAAAAGACCTGGCATTTTTATTAAGACATGATAGGATAAATGCAAAGACACTCCAAACTAAACGTTAAAGCTTTTTAAACCAGTTTTCTTTGGTATCTAGATCTTGCAGGCTAGTAAGTTTTCACAGCCCAAGCTGACAATCACTCTTGGACTGAATAATACAAGACAAGCACAGATATCTGTCACAACTGCAGGCCACCCCCAAGAAGAGAGGCATGCACACAAGGAGAACTTGACAAAGTTGAAGGTAAACTAGCTTTCTCTCATACCCATATTTGGAGTGGCCATAGCAATTTAATGACAGACATCTGTATAAAAGATTATCCTTTAAAGACTATTTTTAAACCATGCTATCCTAAGATTAAGCCCAACTGAAACACACTGCTTTGAAGAGTTTGCTTCCTTGAGGCTTTGGCTGAAAGGCAGCACAGTTATCTTATCCCGTCGAAGTTAGGTGTTTTTTCCTCACCCTTCTTTCAAAAGAGATTTTGCCATCTCATGAATCTGTCTTTCTTTATGGTCCTTTAGTTTAAGCCTCCTCTACAGTGGCAGCTATCTGTCTGCACACAGCATGGGGATTTCTACAAAGCCCAGAAAGTTAACACTCCTCAGAAGGGAAAAGCAGCAAGAAGGAAAGTGCACCTTGTGATTTCTCACAAACTTGTAAAGAGCCTTTCAATCTCAGGTCACTTTTGTGCATGGTGGCTGGCAGAGATGAACCCTTTCCTTGGAGGATGGTTAAGGCTCTTTGGACTTTTTGGTAACAACCACATTGACATTTCAGAGATGATCTCTTGCAAGCAGTAAGGTAAATCCCATGGCATTTCCAAGCCTAAGAGTACTGATGCATGAATTTTTCCATTGCAGAGAGATAGAAAAGCCCTCTGTTCCCTACTTTAACCATTCTTGATTGCCTCCAAAGGCCTTATCCAGAGCACAAAACAACAGCTCTGTAGAGACCGTATCTGCATTAACTACTAAACTGGAAAGCAAGAAGTTGCAGAATAGACAAAAATACTTCCAGGGACTCAAAGTCACATTTTGCTAGAGAGATCTCTGTTCTCCCCAGAAGTTTCTGCTTCTCTGGAAAGCTGATTTATACCCCTGAAAAGGACAACTTCCCCCTGCCTCCAAGCTTTTAAGGATCATATACATTTATTTTACACAGAATTCTTTGGTACTGCCCTGGAAAAAAGCAGCGAAGTTTCATCTTGATGCAATTTGCCTTATGCTGGTACTGGTAACTTTTCACTTGGATGTGTAGCAAGAGTTACATGAAGCTACAAGCCCACCTGACCCTAAAAAACTACAGCAGACCTTCCTGAATTTTTCAGTCCAGCTTTTTGGGGAAGCCAGAAGATGAAAAAATATATGTTTTTGTCACTGATAGTTATTGCAATCCTCTTCAAACACAACAAAAAAACCTGCCGACTTCTCCAAAACACACCCTGAATCTCCAAAGCTGTGCTTATTTCTTACTTTTGGAAAAAGGTACCACTTCTGTTCTAGCAGATCCACTCAAACGTTATTCTCTTAAAGTCTCTCTATGGGGAGGGGCAAAAAAAGACCAAAGCTAGTCATTTCACACGAAAGTAAATCAAAAGGGTTTGATTTTCCCCGTTTCAATGCTCCTTGTAACCTCTTCTGTTATCCAGATTAGGTGCAATGATAAAATAAACAGCAACTTTTAAACAGATTTCAGGTAAAAAGGGTAAAAAAAAAAGAAATACTCACTGACGGGGTACATTAAAGGAAGCCTTGCTTTTCTCCTAAACTTGACAGCCACCGCACTAAGCCACTAAAATGAACAATTTGGTTTTAAACTTAAAGAATTTTTGTGCATTTTCATCAGCTTCAATTTGTGCTGTTGGATTACTGTGTTTCAGAAAAAAATACACAGAAATGCCAAAAAAATAACAATACAAACTTGCTCTTCCCAGCGAGTGAATCCCACTCGCTGTCACAAAACGTTCCAAGTCATCTGGGAGCAAGATGCTGCGCTCACCACTAGATCAAACACACTGAGGTATAAAAAGGAGAACAGGATAAAGTTCTCTGCTGCAGCAGCAATCAAACAAAACAAAAGTCCCCCCTCCCATATCCCCCCCACAGAACTGCAGTATGGTCAAGAACACAAATTCTCTACAAACACCTACTACCATTTTCTCCATTACAAAAGTTACATCGAGCCTTTTTTGGCTTAGTCTACAGAACTCACCACACAAACCACCTAATGTGCACAGCAACACTTGTTTGTGCATGAAACCCCATCGGGGGGAGGGAA